TCTGACCTCCTCCTTGATCACTATCACCCATGACCTCCTCCTTCTGCCTATCCCAGTCTCCTCTATCTGACCTGTGACCTCCCCATTTTATCACCCTCTCTAGCCTCCTCCTTATGACCACCTCTCTCTAATAACCTCCTGACCTCCTCCCTCTGACCCTATTACTCTCATCCCAGGAAAGGAAGGAACTGGTCTGGCCCAACCAGATCCGAATCCAGGCCATCCTACCAGCCCCACCCCACACAGCAGGCCAGTGCTAAGTGGAACCACATGGTTTGAGCGGGGAGGGTGGGGGCTTCCCCTGGGCCCAAAGCCCCTGCCTGCTCTCCCCTCCCCCCAGCAGACTGTCCCACTGACCCCCTGACCCAACCCCTTGGCAGAAGCCAGTTCTGTCAAATCCACCCATGACCTCACCCTGGGGGAGTTTCTGCTGACCTCACCAATGGGAGTCAGGGTGGGGGGCCAGACTTGGGGGAGATAGGGGCTTGGATGAGGGACCCCCATCCAGCTCCTCCTGGGTCAGATCCTTCATTCTCCAAAACTTACAGACTCCTATTCCAGCCTCAGCTCACTCCTGCTTCCAACCTCCTGTTCTTTCTTTCTTCTCTCCCCCTCCCTGCCCTCTCTCTCTGTCCCACTTTCTCTGCTGGTCTTTCCAGGTTCCTCTCTGCGTCCAACTCTGAATCAGTGTCTCTCTTTCTCTCTTACTTCCTAACTCTCTCTCTCTGTCTATTGGTATTTCATATATATATCTGTGTAGATTACTCCCCCCGTCCTTCTCTCTCTCTCTCTCTCTCTCTCCATCCACGCCCCCCAATTCTGCTGCTGCCACCAGCCCCCACTCTAATTGCCTGTTCTCTGGCTGGGCTGTTATTAAGAGGTATTTGGGTTACAGTCCCCTGGGACTAAGATCTGAGCTCCCAGGCTCTGTCAACCACAAGGGTCACTCCCCCACAGAATGATTATCCCAGCTGCCCCCTCTCCAGGCTGCAGCCCAGCGGACAGCTGAGATCCATGACCCCATGCAGTGTGGCTCTCCCCTCACCCAGACCCCTGTCTCTATGCTGTGGGAAGGAGTAGCCTCTCGCCTAGCTGCTCATTCACATTGAAAAAGTCCTTCCCAGCACCTAACCCAAATGTCTCCTGCTTCAATCTTGTATCTCCTCTGTAATGACCTTTCAGAAACTGACTGCCCTTTCTTTTCATGGCTGGCTTTGTGACAAGGAGACACACAAGAGGCATTGAGTCCTGCCTGCAGGCCCAGAGGGTGGGGGTCTGCCAGGGACCCAGCCTGACCTTCCCCCACACTCTCCCCTGTGTTGGTCAGGGCCCCAGGGAGATGTCGGATGGGGTCTAGGATATGAAGGGAGGTAGGCAGGCACTAGGTTGGGATCTCCTCAGAAAGGTAGGAGAGCATAGGTGTGAGTGTATATGCCATTGTACATGTGCATGAGATTGTGCAAGTGTGTCCATGACTCTTTATGGACCAGGGAATGGCTGAGCATGTGATCTGTGGATGTGTGGTGTGTGCCGAGTATCTGGCCTCCAGTGGGGAGATTAGGTGCGGGTGTTCGGTGAGTGACTGGACGTGCATGTGGGCTGGGGTCCTGTCAGTGAGCAGGTGGGTCTGTGATTGTAACAGATGAGACTGGAGATGCGGGAATGTGGTTATACGTGAGAGTATGGCCACCTCGGCAAGCGGGTGACAGGCTGTGAATGCTGACAGGGTTGCGTGGATACCAGTGGAAGCCTGTGCCAGGGCTGCAAGGCGTAGGAGGGTGACAAAGGCTGTGACCCTGTGGCGGGTGGCTGCTGGGGTTGCCTGGGGCGTGGGCACCGGTGTTTGAAAATTCCTGGTGTCCCCGAGGGCTTATATTCTGAATGGATGCCTGAGATTGCACGACTGTGGGGATGTGTGAGCATGGGAATGGGACATGGGCCAGTTTGGGACAATCCACGTGAACAGGCACCTCCCTGGACTCCAGAGAAAGTGAGAAAGTGTAGGACGGGGTGTGTGTGTGTGTGTGTGTGTGTGTGTGTGTGTGTGTGTGTGTTGGGGGCTGAGTTCACATTAGGGAGGGACTTCCAGGAGTGCCTAAAGCCCAGCCTCTCTCAGACCAGGGATGCCACTTGAAGGACCTTCCCAAACCCTTGGGCGCCCCCAACCCCGAACCCTGTGGGGCGGAGCGCGGCGTCCAGCCAGAAGCGCGCAGCTGGGCGTGCGTCAGCGCTGACTCACTCGTCCGGCGGCCCCCGGGACCCCTTGAGGCCCCTGAGAAATTCCTCAGGAAAAACACCCGCGGCTCGCTCAGCTGGGGGGAAGAACTTCCACTTCCGCCCCCGCCCGCGCTCCGCCCCGCCCCGCCCCGCGCCCCGCCCCGCCTCGCCCCTCACCGCGGCCCTCCCGAGGTCCTGTCCATGGTGCTGATCGCGGCTCTGGGGAGAGCAGGGTGGGGGAGGGGAGAAATGGGGGCAGAGGAGGTGGGGGCGCGCCAATTGGAGACAGAGGAGGAAGAGGAAGAATACGATGAAGCCATTAGGGGCGATGCAAAGGAAACTTTGAATCCCCGATTAGCCCCCTCCCATACTCGTCCCCATTCAGCATCACCCCCAGAATCATCCGCTCGCGTCCTCATGGGCCATTTTTTACACCCCCAAATCACAACCGAACCCCTCATCGGGTCACCCAAAGACAATCACACGCGTAACACGATTATTCTCTAAGTCAGCCCTACACAGACACACCCACAACTCACAATCACACAGTTGGCCAGGGATCACCCATCACACATTCATAACATAATCGTCAACTCCCACACACATTTTCACTTCAAATGGCCTCACACACATTGCTACACACACACCTATAAATTGCATTCACTCCAAGGCATCCACCAGTAAAACTCGGTCACACGTATCCCCTTCCCCCCAGCTGTCACACCCACAAATTACCCAGAGTCGGATACTCGCGCCCAAACAGAGCACCCCAGCCACTTGCTACACTCACGCCCCCCTTGCACGCCCCCCATTCCTGACTCCACCCCATCTTTTGGGAGCTCGCTAGATCCTGCCCTCTGGATCCTACTCCTGTCTCCTTCTTTCCGGCTCACCCGCCTGCGTCCGGAGAAGAAGCTGCAGCGAGGCCAAAAGCAGGCAGAGGCCGGCCCGCGGCTGGCCCAGGCCTCCGCGACTCCCCATCCCGGCGGGGCCCACACGCAAGGCGGGGACCGGCCGGGGCGTCTACGGGGCGCGGCGACTCCTCGGGCTCCGGGCACTCGCTCTCCGCGGCCGGCTCCACTCGGATCGGCAGGAGACTGCAGGAGACCCCGCCCTGGCCTCGCCCTGCTCTCCCGCGCCCGGCCGGGCGGGGCTCGCTGGAGGAGGGGGGGTGGCTGACAGCTGGTGGGGGAGTTGGGAAAGTTTGTGCCGAGTGCTGATTGGCCGGCTAGGGCTGGAGCCCTGAGCCGGGAGCGGGGGCCCTTCTTGTCCCACCCCACAGTGGAGGAAAAGGGTCACTCCCACCCAGCCTTAGAATTCGGGGCCCCAGACTTACCCCAAACCCTTTCCTCCTAACAGGCCCCCTCAAAACAGATGTTAGCCCCATTCAAACCTTCAGCCTCCATCAGCCTCCACCCAGACCCTGGAGTTAAGGCTTTATACAGCTTTTTTATACCAAATACTTTCTGTCTCACCCAGGCCCCCAGAAGGGGTCCCAGCCTGATGCCAAATTTTCACCCACTTGCTTTACCCCAGTGCCTTAGACACAATGGAAGGTACCAGCTTCCTCCCAGTCCTTCCCTTTGGGTGTCTAAATAAAGAATCCTCATCCCACCCCCAGTCTCATAGCAGATTACAAAATGGAGTTCCCAGCCTTACCCCAAACCCTCATTTCTCCACCCAAATTCCAGAATTGGATGTCCTGGCCTCACCCCCAAACCTTTGACACGAATTCCAAAACACAGTCCTCAATTTCTCCCAAACTCTTAATCTTCAAATAAAGGGTCCCATTTCCATCCCTAGCCCTCTCCTCCCTTCTCCCTGATTCAGGTCCCCGAACAGATGTCTTAGCCCCAATTCCAAATCTTCACATATGCCCCCATTAAATGGGGGAAGTCTGGCCCTACTTCAAAGCAGGGCACTGCCTTAGGGAGAGGTGGATACCTGCCATTCTTGGAGTGAGGTAGAGCTGCCCTTCACCCTACTGGGACCCCCCACTGTGAAGCTCCCTCATCCCCCCCCCCCCGGGGGGGTCACATGGAGCTGTCTGTGCAATTGAACAAGCACAGACTTGTGGGATCTGAGGGAGCTTCTGCACGGAGAAACCTAAGGGGCGTTTCCTGGGCCCAGAACTGCCCCACCACGGGGGAAGAGGGAGAAGCTGGCAGTGTCTCCCTCCCAGCCTCTGGTTCTTCGGACAAAGAGTGTCTGTGTCCCTAGAGAGGAGGGGTGGAGCCCCATCTGGCCTGAGAGTTGAAAAGGGGGCAGTGGGGTGGGGAGAAGAAAGGGAATCTCCCCAAGCTGCTTCTTCTCCCTCCTCAGGGACCTCAGAGGCTAAGACTTCTCCTGCTAAAAATTCTCATAGAGTGCCCTGCCCTGCCTTGCTGGGAAGTTCTTCCTGGTCTACCCCCATCATCTGACGTATCTACACCCATTCTCATGTTTGAAAGGAGCCTTCTGGGACCACACTCTCTGCCACTTTCTCTCACTCTCTGCCTCCCATCAGAGATTCTCTGCCCAGAATTGACAGGAAGAGAATGCCCCTGCTAATTCCCCCACCCCCGAATGATTTACAGTCATAATAAAAAGACCCTAGTTGTGAGTGTAGCAGTGAGAAGAGATTTTTAACAGATAAAAGAAAGAGGCTATTTTGAGGTTAAAAGATTTCCCCCGCCCCCAGCTGCCTGCCCAGGGTCAGTTCAGAATTGGTGTCTTCTGGAGCCCCTTCACCTTGCAGGGGAAAGATGGGAGGGTGTCTAGGAGGTAGGGGGGATGAGGCTAGGATGGGTGGCAGGAGTCAGGTGCTGGCCAGCAGAGGTCACCCATCCGGGGAGGGATCAACATGGCCGACGCACCCCGGACTGTACTGATCTCAGGCTGCTCCTCAGGAATTGGGCTGGAGCTTGCAGTGCAGCTGGCTCATGACCACAGGCACCGCTACCAAGGTTAGAGGCCCAGGGTGGGGCTGGGAGGGGCAGGGGTGGGCATTCTGAGGACCTTCAGCCCTTCTGGCACCATTTCCACTAGCCCATCCCATCAGCTGTATGTGTGGGCTTGAGGGGGACAGAGGACACATGGAGGCCCCCTTCCCACCTCTGCTCAGGAATTATCCCCTCATCCAACAAATATTTCTTGTGCACCTACTGGGTGCCAGGCACTGTTCTAGGTGCTGGAAACACAGCTATGAACAAAACAGACAAAAATCTCTGTCCTCAGCAGTAGTGTAAGGAGGGAGGGGAGCAAGGACAGACAATAAACAGACTTTTTTTTAATTGTATAATATGTCTAATGCTCATAAGTGCTAAGAAGCAAAGTAAGCGTGGTGTATGGTAGGAGGTGGGGGGGAGCGGGGGGGGGTAGGTGATTTTTTTAAAGGGCTGGTGGGGAGGGGATCCCTAAGGTTCCTCTTGGGCATTCCCTAGGACTCCCCTCCCCCACCTCTCCCCAGATTACTGCTCCAAGATAAGCCTCTTAAGTGAACCTGACCTTGGGGGCTTAAAGGGGGCCTCTAAATCTAGGGACTTAGCCTCCAGCAACTGGAGTAAATTGCCTCGGTCTGCTCCACCCATGGGAACCTCTGACCCAGAGCAGGCTGCAGCTGAAGTGGGTAAAGGGCTGCTACTTACAAGGAGGTTGCTGGGGGCAAGGGCATTGCCCCAGTTGGCAGAGCAGCTTCTCCCAACCCTCTGCCCTCTGTCTTAGAGACACACACAGCCTTGGATGGGACGGACCGAGTGCCAGTGCGCAGGGAAGTAGTTGTGCTGTGTGTGTCCCTGTGACACTAGTCACAGCCCTGGACAGGCAGATGAATGTATGAAACTGAAGGATGTTTATGGAGTGCTTACAATGTGCCAGGTTCCGATCTAAGTGTCATGCATCTAGTAAGTCATTTAATTCCCCAATCACCCCTATGAGGTGGCCACTATCATTAGCCCCACCTTAGAAATGAGGAAACTGGGCCACAGAGTGCCAAGGATTCTTGCCCAAAATCGCCCCGCTGGAAAGTGGCAGAGCCTGGATTTGAGCCCAGGTAACCCACACCCTGGGACCACAGTTGTCACTTATGGAGATGCATGTGCTCCCATTCATCTGTGCGATGCCCGTGAGTCACACAGGCCCACAGACTATATGAACACGGCCCCTGGCGCTGTGCATGCATGATCATGGGCACACGCATGAAGGATACAAACATGTACAGAGGGGTTTGAGCTCAGCACTCCCACAAACCGAGGTTCAAATCCCAGTTCTAACACTTACTAGTGGTGGGACAGGCAAGAAACTTCATTTTCTTAGCCTCAGTGTGTTGATCTCTGTGATAGGGACAGTAACTTTACCTACTTATTCTGGCTACTATTGCTAAAGAACAAATCATTCCAAAATTTCTGGTGTAATAGGACAATGGTAGTCACGGTTTACAAAAGTCATAGTTTACAAAAACTCATGGTTTTGTAAAACCATGGTTTTTGGTTTACAAAAGCCATAAATTTGGAAGGGGGCAGCTAGGTGATTATTGCTCAGGGTCAGAGGCTACAACTGGAACAGCGGGGACTAGTCACAGCCCTGGGCAGGCATCTCTCCTCCTTCTAATAATGTCAGGCCTTCTCCATGTGGTTCCTCTGTCTGGCTAGCTTGGGGATTCCTCCCAGCATGGTGGCCTCAGGATAGCTGGGCTGCTACAAAGTGGCCGAGGATTTTAAGAGTGAACATTACAGGGCTGCCTGGGTGGCTTAGTCAATTGAGCATCCAACTCCTGATTTTGGCTCACGTCATGGTCTCAGTGTCATAAGCTTGAGCCCTGCATCAGGCTCCGTACTCAGAGTGAAGTCAGCTTGGGATTCTCTCTCTCCCTCTCCCTCTGCCCCTCCCCCATTCCTGCTCTCTCAGTCTCTCTCAAATAAATAAATAACTAAAATCTTTTAAAAAAGAAAAAGAATGGAGCGCCTGGGTGGCTCAGATGGTTAAGCATCTGCCGTCAGCTCAGGTCATGATCCTGGGGTCCTGGGATCAAGCCCCGCATTGGGGGGGGGGGTCCCTGCTCAGTGGGGAGCCAGCTTCTCCCCCTGCCTCTCTCTCTTTCTCTCTCTCTGTGTCTCTCATGAATAAATAAATAAAATCTTGGGAAAAAAAAAAAAGAAAAAGAATGAACATTAAAGCAAACAGAGCAGAAACTGCAATACCTTTTCTGACCCAATCCCAGAAGCCACACAATGTCACTTTCACCGTGTTCTGTTAGTGCCCAGCTAGACACCAGATTCAAGGAGAGGGAAATGAGATTTCATGTCTTGAGGGAGAACAGCAAAATTCTCAAAGAGCATATGCGATGAAAGATGCTGTGGCCATCTTTGGAAAATAAGCCCGTTACCTTATCATAGGGTTCTTCGTGAGGAGTAGAGACAATGCTTATAAAAGTGTGTAGCACAGTGTTTGGCACATAGTAGATACTCAATAAATCGCCAGTTCTGTGGCTGATGTAGATGTGGCTATTTGTATTTCCATGTACACACAACGCACATATATTGACCCTAGATGTGTATGCATTTCTTTTCTCAAGGCCATGTGTTCTCTATTTATTTTATTGCCTTACTCACTGGACTATAAATTCCGTGAAGGCAGGCACTTTGTCCACCTTATTTCATGCAGTCGTCTCAGCACCGAGAATAGAGCATAATGTGTACTAAGTACATGCTCAGTAAATGTTGGATGGAGGGATGGAGGACTAAAGTGATGAAAGGATGGATGAAAGTACATGTAAATGTATTTACACTATATGCATTTGTGGTTGTATAGTAAAATAGGTGTGTAAACCCGTGGGTCTCCATCCCTCTGTGACGGCTCATGCAATATCATGGAGATATGTAAGTAAATGCACAGGGGAAAGGAACCCAGTGCTTGCCCCAACTCTGCTTTCTGTCCCCAGTGGTGGCCACCATGAGGGACCTGGGAAAGAAGGAGACACTGGAGGCAGCTGCTGGGGAAGCTCTGGGGCAGACCCTCACCGTGGCCCAGCTGGACGTGTGCAGTGACGAGTCAGTGGCCCAGTGTCTCAGCGGCATCCAAGGAGGGGAAGTGGATGTGCTGGGTGAGACTGAACAGCCCCTGGGGTCACCCCCCCTTCCCTGACCTAAGCACAGGTCCTCATTGTAGTGAATCCTCTCCAGTGTCTGAGCACGAGCCTTCTTGCTTCACCAGCAACCTCTAGCCCTGGACAGAAGGTGTAGGCAAGCTGGCTAAAAGCCCAGGGTACCAGTTTATTAGGGTTACAAGAAATAAACTGAGTCCCGGGGGTAGGGTAGATTTTACCGAATAGAACACCATATGGTGTTCTGTTACATATGGTTTTTCTCCAAAAACCATATGTTGGAAAAGTTACTTTGATGAGTCATTTGGGAAACCGAGCATGATGTAGAAGCAACACATGATCTCTCAAAGACCTTCTGAGGAGGGTGGGTGTGGCTGTTTTGATGCAAATTGGGGTCAGAGCTGAATTGCTCTTGCATTAAGGGGAGGCTGCTCCCAGCATCCCTTCCCCCCACCCGGAGTCCAGGGTCCTCATAACAAATGCTAAACTATATGTAAAGATCATCAGGGTTCCACAATTGTCCACTCAGGATACTCTGGACTGGCCCTGAATTTGGAGTAGGGGGTGGGATAATTCAGGGAGTGTCCCTAGAGGAGTGACACTAGAAGGGTTGGGGGGACTTCCAAGTAACCTTCAGTCCCCTCCTTAGTGAATAATGCTGGAGTGGGCCTGGTGGGGCCCCTGGAGGGGCTCAGCCTAGCTGCCATGCAGAACGTCTTTGATACCAACTTTTTCGGGGCTGTCCGTCTGGTCAGAGCTGTCCTTCCTGGCATGAAGAGAAGGCGAAAGGGCCACATTGTGGTGGTCAGCAGTGTCATGGGGCTGCAGGGTAAGCCCTGGGGACCCACCCCTGGGAATCCTCCTAGCATCTGACCCTCCCCAGGCTAGAAGAATGGCAAATAGGTTTTGGCTCATATTCCAAATGAGCTTGTGTTGAGAAGGATTCTGAAGCTCTATAGGAAACATTTGTGGATTAGATTATGTAGGCCATGCTGCAAGAGCTAAGCAGTAGTGTTGTAAATGCTGCAACGGCCATCCCCATCCAGCATCAGTGCTACTTCTGGACACCTCTAAGCCCAAGGCAGGGCTCGAACTCACAACCCTGAGATCAAGACTTAAGCTAAGATCAAGAGTCGGATGCTTAAGCGACTGAGCCACCCAGGTGCCCCAGAACTCCTTTCCTGTGACATTTTCTTGACAAATACCTCTAACCAAGCCCCAGAGACATCTAGCTTTGGAGCTCTGAGGTTCTGCAGAAAAAGAGACTAGTGATCGTTTAGCGACATCTGCCATGAGCCTACTATGGAGGCCACTTATTTGCCATCCATGCTCCTGGGTCTTTCCTCCTTGAACCCCTCTAGATGCCCTTCCTCCCCCTGGAAATTCCCTGGGATCTGCCCTTACCTCCTCAGCAGCCTCCTGAAGAATCCACAGTATTTGTGTTTTTTTTGTTTGTTTGTTTGTTTGTTTTAAGAATCTACCTTATTTGTTACCCCACCATGGGGAATCCGTAACTACCAATCAGTCCCATCCCTGTGGCCCCTCTTCTAGCTGTAGCTCCTGACTTCAGGAGCCACATTCACTCTTAATAAGGACAGATAAGAAAGCTGCTGAATAGTACTTGCCCTCAGGGACCCTGGCAATTCTATGCTCAAGTGACTCAGAGGTTTAGAGGATGGACGGAAGGAGGGTTTTCCAGGGCCAAGAGCAAATGGAGCACAGGGAAGAGGCAGCACGTGGCACCCCAAGACAATCTCATCCTAAGCATATGGGCTCATCCTTCAACATATGCTCCCATCATACATATGTACACTCATCCTGTTGGCCTTAGATATCCCCCCCATTCTGATCTTTAAACCCTCTTTGCTCAGTCTCCTGAAGACCTCATGCCCCTCTGGTCCCACAAGCCTGTCGCCCAGACCCCAAAGGGCCCAACCTCCTCCAATCCTCTCAGGTGTGGTGTTCAATGAAGTCTATGCAGCCTCCAAGTTTGCCCTGGAGGGATTCTTCGAAAGTCTGGCTGTCCAGCTGCTGCAGTTCAACATCTTGTGAGGCGGGCGTTTGGGTAGTGAAGGGGGAGGAATGGGAGACGGTGGTGGAGAAAGATGAGGGAAGGGGAGGTGGTGAGAGGATGTGGGCTGGGAAGGCCGAGATGGTGGGAAAACAAGGCAGCGGTGAGAAAGTGGAATCAGGAATGAGGGAAAGGGAGTTACTGGAAGACAGTGGAGGAGTATGGGGGATGGGCAGTGGAGAAGCTGGGGGAATCAGGAAGGATGAAGTAATGATGAGAGAAATGGGGGGAGAGAGGAGAAGAGGGACCGTAACGGGGCCGAGAGTGGGTTGGAGTACCAGACCCCCTACCCCTACTGATGTCCCCAGCATCACTCTGGTGGAACCTGGCCCAGTGGTCACTAACTTTGAGGGGAAGCTCCTGGAGCAGGTTTCCACAGCCGAGTTCCCAGACACTGACCCTGACACCTTGCACTACTTCCGGGATTTCTACCTCCCTGCCTCCAGGGAGCTCTTTCACTCTGTAGGACAGAGCCCACAGGATGTAGCCCAGGTGAGTGGGGAACCCAGAGTCCCAAGACATGGCTCAGATATATGAGGGTGCCCCACCCTGCAAACCACCCCCCCTCCCCGAATCCAAGAGCTCAGGGATCCACCCCATAGGTCATTGTCAAAGTCATCAGCTCCACCAGGCCACCCCTGCGCCGACAGACCAACGCCCGCTACACCCCACTGATTGCGCTCAAGACTGTAGACCCCTCAGGCAGCCTGTATGTACGCACCACCCACTGCCTGCTCTTCCGCTGGACACGCCTTCTCAACATTGGCCTTCGATGTCTGGCCTGTGGCTGCCTCCGCTTCCGAATATGGCCCCGGTGAGCAGAGCCTCACCCAACTCTCCCCACCTCTGAACAGCCAGGTCTCTTCAGTTTACACCCATCTCAGAGGCCAGTACAGACTCTTCTCTCCTACCTTCCTTCCTCCCTTCCTTCCTTCTTTCCTGGGCATCACTCTGTGCCTGGGCATTGCTGGACCCCAGAAATTCCTCAGCATCCATCCACACACCCCTCCATGGTCAGGGCTGGGGCAGAAAGAGGAACGCTTGGACTCTGGGCTGAGGAGCCCAGAGTAAGGACCTGGAGCTATGTCTGGCAAAGCAAGGGAGGCTTCCTGGAGGAGGCAACATTGTTGCTGGACCTTGAAAGATGAGATAGACTGCTTCATTCAACGTCTGGACTTTATTATCTTGGGCCTGGGAATATAAGGGTGATCTAAAACCCCTTCCCATAGAACTGAGTTGACTAACGGGTCTTCGGACTTTTCTGGTCACACACTCTGTCAGCAAAATGTTTGTGCACTCACCAGTAGTGCATGTATATTTTTTTCATAAAATATGTATTTGTATCCACGAGTAATCACTATATTAAATATTTAATAAAGCTCAATTTCTTGTGTCTAAATAAAAAATTTTTAAAAACTAAGTTTCACTTCAAACACATTAGAATGGCTACTATAAGTAAACCAAGCAAAGTAACCAGTGTTGGTGAGGATGTGGAGAAATTGGAGCTCTGAGGCACTGATGCTGAGAAAGTAAAATGGTATAGTCACTGTGGAAAAGAGTATAGTAGTTCCTCAAAAAGGAAGAAAGAAAGAAAGAAAGAAAGGAAGGAAGGAAGGAAGAAAGACACAGAATTATCATGTGACCCAGCGATCCCATTTCTGGGTATGAACCAAACAAATTGAAAGCAGTGTCTCAAAACCCATATTTGCACACCCGTGTTCATAGCAGCATTATTCACAATGGCCAAATGTGGAAGCAATTCCATCCATGGGTCCATCAACAGAAGACTGGATAAACTCAATGAGGATATCCACAAGACAGAATATTATCCAGCCTTAAAAAGAAGGTAAATTCCGGGGCACCTGGGTGGCTCAGTGGGTTAAAGCCTCTGCCTTCGGCTCAGGTCATGATCCCAGGGTCCTGGGATCGAGCCCCGCATCGGGCTCTCTGCTCAGCAGGGAGCCTGTTTCCCCCTTTCTCTCTGCCTGCCTCTCTGCCTACTTGTGATCTGTCAAGTGAATAAATAAAATCTTTAAAAAAAAAAAAGGAAGGTAAATTCCAACACCTACTGCGACATGAGTAAACCTTGAGGACCTTATGCTCTGTGAAATAAGCCAGACAGAAAAAGGACAGATACTGTCTGATCCCACTTAGATGTAGTCCCTAGAGGAGTCAAATCCACGGAGACAGAAGGTAGAGATGGGGGGAGCCAGGCAGCGTGGGGTGTGGAGTCAATGTTGAGTGGGGAGAGAGTTGCAATTTTGCAAGACAAAGAGTTCTGTGGTTGGAGGGTGGTCATGACAGCATGACCATGCGAGTGGCCTCAGTACTAATGATGTGTATGCTCAGAAATGGTCAAGATGGTAAATTGTGTGTTTTGTACATTTTATCACAATTAAAAGTTTTTAAAAAGCAACTGGGGTCCAAGTTTCTTGGCCCTCGTGTGGAGAGTTTGGAAGCAAATGGACTCTGGGTATAAATGTTGACCTTGTCTCTTGTTCACCGGGTGACCCTGGGCAGGTGACTTCCTGGTGTCATCTTCTGGAAAGGGGAGCTAACAATAATGGCAGTGAAATGACAGGAGAAGCACCCTGCACTGTGTTCCATTTCGCTTGGAGCTTTTGGTGTGGCTCCTGTTTAACTATCTCCTTGGAATGCCAGGCTCCAGTCGAAGGTGTTTTAATTAATGTCTGCTCTTGCAGCCTTGTTAGATAGAGGCCCTCAGAACCTGCCCGATCCATAAATGAGGAAACTAAGGTTGTCCAGAGCAGAGGGGAGGGCAGGACTCAAGCCTAGGTCTGTCCAGCTCAGTGTATGCTGGACCTTAAGGGTCTCTAGTAACCTCTTCTAGGACAAGAGAAACTGAGTCCAGGGCCCATGAAAGAGGTCTCTTTGAGTCAGTGCACATATACTGGGGCCACTTAATATTTTTGGTCAAATGAACCCCTCCGTTCTCCTCCCTGACACTGGATTTTTGAAGCTGTGTTGGAATACGGAAAAGAGTATATGAAAATGGGGCCCCTGGGGGGCTCAGTATCTGCCTTCAGCTCAGGTCATGATCCCAGGGTCCTGGGACGGAGCCCGGGCTCCTTGCTCAGCAGGGAGCCTGCTTCTCCCTCTGCCTGCTGCTCCCCCTGTTTATGCTCTCTCTCTCTCTGACAAATAAAATCTTAAAAAAAAATGTTAAAGAGAATATATGAAAATAGATCATGACGATGGTTGCCCAGCCTTGTGACTATACCAGAACCACTGAATCGTGCACTTTAAAATGGCAAATTTTATGGTATATGAATTATACCTCAATTTAAAAATTAAATACATTCTTTTGAAGGAATATATGAAGCACACATGTGCTAGAGGTCTTTGGAGTGCCAGTAGGAGGCCTCAGCAGGAGCTGAGTGGCAGGGAGGAGAAAGACCAGAGTATTTCTCCCCCAGGCTCCCTCCATGGGGGTCTCCGTGTATTAGCAGCATCTCTCCATCCATCCAAGGCCCCAGCTCCAGTTTCTGAAAACCACTCCCTCCCTATGCCCCCTTTAGCCAGTGATGGTGTTGGGACCCCCACAATTGCCATCAGGATGACATTGCACTATCTTCCCTAGGGACACACACCTTCTGTCTTCACCTTTACAATTGTCCCTGTCTTCATTGATCTCCAAATTACCCACTTTGAATATATTATCTTTTTCCATCCAGGACTCTGACAGACCCAGTGTATTCGTGTGAAAGAGCCAGGGAGCAAAACGCATGCAGACTAGCTCACCGTCAGACTCCACCATTAGAACGGTACTGATATTTGCTGCCTGCCTTACCCCGAAGGTCTCCACCATCCCAATTTCTAAGTCCAACATTATCTTGTTTTTCAAGAAACTCCCTTATATAAATTATTTTGAAAGACTAATTTGGGATGCCTGGATGGCTCAGTCGGTTAAACGGCTGACTTCTGCTCAGGTCATGATCCCAGGGTTCTGGGATTGAGCCCCTTGGGGGACCATCATGGGGCTCCCTCCCTGTTCAGCGAGGAGTCTGCTTCTCCCTCTGCCTCTCCCCCCACTCATGCTCCCTCTCTCTCTCTCTCAAATAAATAAATAAAATATTTTTTAAAGTTCTTTTTGTATTTTATTTATTTGTCAGAGAATGGGAGTGAGTGAAAGAGAACACAAGCAGGGGAAGCAGCAGGCAGAGGGAGAAGCGGGCTCCCCACTGAGCATGGAGCCCAATGTGGGGACTCGATCCCAGGACCCTGGGAACACAACCTGAGCTGAAGGCAGATGCTTAACCACCTGAGCCACCCAGGCGTCCCTACATAAATAAATAAAATCTTAAAAAAATAAAAAAGACAAGTTATCTTCTTCCCAAGAAGGAAAAGCCATTATAGTCACCTCATCATAAGTGAGGCCAAATTCGATATTTATAGGTGGGGCGTACAACTTTCCAAACCCTATACTCATAGGCTCTTGGTGTGGGAAAATACGTCTCTCTCAGATCGGCCTTCTCTCCCAGATTGTCTTGCAACTAGGGAGTGAGCCTGTCACCCCAATTCCACTCAGGTACAAAGTTAGATTTGAGAACCCACCACCCAAAGGAGGAGAGATCAGGAAAGGGAGGTAGTGGAAGGGACAGGGGCATTGCAAATGTCCAGGGCCGTCAGTGAAAGCCAGAGCTGACGGCCGGTCTTAGCTGCTGGCCTGCGCCCTTCCTTTGCCCCTTCCGCCTTCGAGGGCTGGTGATTTCATTAGCCACCAATATCCACCCAATAAATTCCTTTGCAGCTTAAATCACCCTGAGTCAGCTTCTGTTGCATATAAGGAAGAATCATCACCAATCCAGATGGCAACATAAAAGCAAATTCAGCGGAGGAGGAAGAAATGTTATTATGGTCTAGCGGGATGCCACTGCCGACCAGCAGAAATTGGCCAACGTTCAGAAGGTGCTGAAGACGCACAAACCCTTGTTCTTGATTTCTACAGTCCCACCTGCCCGTTGGTCCTCCCCGTCTTAGCAAAGATAAGTCTGTTTTAGTTGCTCATGCCAAAAATCCTGGAGTCATCTCTACTTCCTCTCTCTCATACCTCACAGCTAATCAGATCTTGTTCACTGGACCTGCAAAATATATTCAGAACCGACCATTTCGCAACACTTTCTGGGTCCCCACCCTAATCCAACCACCATCATTTTTTTTTAAAGAATTATTTACTTATTTGACAGAGAGAGTGAGAGAGCACAAGCAGGGGGAACAGTGGGGAGAAAGAGAGGTAGAAGGAGACTCCCTGCCGAGCGGGGAGTCTGATGGGGGGCTCGATCCCAGGACCCTGGGATCATGACCTGAGCCGAAGGCAGATGCTTAACCATCTGAGCCACTCAGGTGCCCCAACCACCATCATTTTTCAGCTGGAGAATTGCACCAGTCCCCTCCCCACTCTCACCTCCTACTCTTGTTGCCCCCTACAATCCATTCCCCACACCACAGCCCAGAAGACACTTTAAAAACACCTTCTGAATTGATAAAATCTCAGTGTTTTTTAAAAATCAATACATTTGTGGGGCGCCTGGGTGGCTCAGTGGATTAAGCCTCTGCCTTCAGCCCAGGTCATGATCTCAGGGTCCTGAGATCGAGCCCCACATCGGGCTCTCTGCTCAGCGGGGAGCCTGCTTCGCCCTCTCACTCTCTCTGCCTGCCTCTCTGCCTACTTGTGATCTCTGTCTGTCAAATTAATTAATTAATTAATTTAAAAAATCAATACATTTGTGTCTATGTACATATAAAAGAATATTTTAAAAGCAATATTTTATAAGTTCAGAACCTGGGTGGTCCACTC